GAAATGACAGAGTAATAAAAAATATTTTTTTAAAAAAAATCTTGGGATCAGGTACCAGACTATCAGTTCTGTACTCTTTGTGTTTACTTCATGCATGCATGTATGCAAAAATCTGGCCTCCTCGATGCCACACAATTTTGTTACTTCATGTACCTCTATGTTTTCCTCCTGCTTTGAATTTTATAAAATCACTAGTCACACACATTTGATATTTCATTCTAAATAATATCTGCAACAGTTTGAAAGTGCCTTGCTTAAGTTAACTTCTGATTCACGGTCATTACAAGTAATGAAGCTTGCAAGGTTCACTGTGTTAAACTGTTCCTATATTATGGCACTGAATATGCATGGAATACGTTTAAGTTATATTCCAGGCAAAGTGGGTAGATCTGTCTCATCTACTGCTTTTGGAAGTCTTGCAGTACTGTATATTTTTGCCAAGACCATACACTCTTGAAACTAGTAGACTGTGTGAGTACTTCAGCTTTCATTTGAAAGAACAACAAAAAGCTTGAAATATTAACAGTAAGAAAGTACAGACTAAATGCTCAGAAAAAAATATTTAATTTATTTGTATCTTGAAGATCTACTTGGCATTGTCTAAGATATTATCATCTGGCTGTTTCACTGCTAAATCATTCATTTGAACGTAACGTGATGCGGAGGCTCTTTAAGCTAAGCCACTAACTTTCTACTAAAGTAATGTTCACATCACTCATTCCACTAATTCTTTTGTAAGGGTGCTAACCTTAAGGAGAGGATAAAAAAAAATGAGAGTTTACATGTGGAACACCTACATTACAAATGCATGGACTTTTCCCCAAAATATCAGAGAATTCGTGAAACTGAACTATAATGCTACTATTTTTCATGTACAGTGCTCAGGAGGCTATTAATGTCATCTAGACCCTTCTAAACATGGGCCCTGGGTTCAAAAATTAGCTGTTCTAGAGTCACTGAGAAAGTTGTTACTCAGTGGCTAAATTTTATGTCAGTAAACCTAATCTACGTAAAAAATATCAGATACATTATGTCTACTTGGAAAAGTTTGTAGAGCAAACAAGCTTTGTCCATGGACTCTATGAATCCACTGCAGTCCTCTGAAGTAGTATCTCTGCATAAAGTAACTGGAAACATATATTCCACATTGTGTATCAGTGGCAATTTTGATTTAATGGTCCAGGAAGACAACTACAAAAATATACTTTTATACAGAAAGAACCGAAAGGAGTTCATGCTGTTGACAGACTGGGATAAAACACCAACTTACAGACAAGTAATTCAATCTATATTCAGAATTATTTTCCATTAGATGGAAAAAAAAGTTGTGGGTTGTGTTTTTTTTTTAAAAAAACCCCAACACTTCCTGGAAAAATTCTAAAGCCAAATTGGAACTCAAAACAATATTGTTTTAAGTAAAACTGTTTGCTAGGTTTTACAACCACAATGCTGAGAACATAATTAATTTTTAAAGCTTACATGTGTACCACCAAAAATGAGAAGACATCTTTTTCTCTCTGAAAATCTTCAGCACTTGTTACTCTGCTATCCATTTAATTTACTGTGCATCACACAATAGAAGGAAGCTACAAATGAGTATAAGTAAATTACTTATTTTGAAGGGAGGAATGTATATGGTCTAGTAAGTTTATGATGACAAAAGATGATCTGCATCTTATCTAACCAAAAGTTCAACCTCAGGAGACTGAAATGTTTGCCAGCAGGTTCTAAATCACACAGACACCAATGAATGTAGATCTTAATCGTAGAGATAGCTGACCAGAAGTTTCCACTACCATTAATGAGCTAAACTGAACATTATATATGTTATAATATCCATCAGGTGTTTTCTGTCCCAGTTAACAGACGATTTCACAAATCACAGGTTTGGAAACATTTCACAAAGAAGATGAAAGGTTTCCAAAATCTAACGAATCCCTCTCAAGAGAACTGCATTTAATGTAAAGGTTTATTAGCAAATACTTGAACGATAAAATTAGCTTTAAAAAATTAACATTATTGCCACAAAGGGATTGTAAATCTACTGGGGAATGATGCAGAGACAGCAAGGGGGAATCAGAAGGCCAAGTCAATGAGGAGTTGCTTGCTAATACTATGAAGGCAGCTTGATTTTGAAGAGAAAACACACAACTAAAAAAAAGGAAAAAAAAAAACAAACAGACAAAAAACTTGTAATTAATGTGCTACAGAAAGAACAATTTCCCACCACAAGTCTCACATGGACAGTTCTGCCATCCTCAGAAGGACTACATAAAGAATTCTTCCCAACCTCAAAAAATTGTACTTCAACAGTTATTCAGAACTCAAGCCCCAAGCTCTTCTCCATAAATAACTCAGATGTATGAACTGATTAAGAGTTATTATCACCAAGAAATCTACATGCTTATTCCAGTCTCAGGCTTATTAAATGGTGCTTTTTGAGCTCACTGGTTTGTTTGATGATTAAAAGAGAAATTTCATTCACTGATTCATATTTGAAGGCTAGAAATGGTAAAGAATTTACTGCATTCCTACCTTAAAAATCAGTTCCACAGTACATAATCTCTCAGTTGACAAAGAAATACTTCTCTCCTCCTCCGACCTTGCTAACTACTGATCAATGGATCTAATTATGTCTTGAAGAATTTAAAGAAATTTAAACTGTCAGACATCTTATATCCATTTCAGTATTTCTTTACTATTGCCAAGCCTCTTAATACACTATTGAATAAATTGAAGCATATTCAGCTCATTGAGTCTCTATCAGGCGAAGTTTCAGGATTCTTCTCTAACATTTTTCCTTTCCACTGTCTTTCAACATCCTTTTTAGGCTGCTGTCATTCGACCTAGATATAGAACTCAACTGCAGTCTCAATGGTAATTGCTGAAACAAAAAGATTAATATCATATCCTTTATCAACGTCAGTAAAAATTCTGTGTATGGATTGTTAAAAGATGTGTATCTGCTCTTCCATAGCTTCATGCTAAGAGCTTATATATAATTAATGCTACCTTAATTTCAGGAAACAAGTCTAATTTTCAAAATATTCTTCTTCAACTATGGCCCCACACACTGTTACCTTTACCAAGCTCACTAACCAATCTGCCTTCATTATTACTGACTAATACTTAGTGTTCAGGTTTCACTAGAAGTAGATTCATGTTTTCTGATAAAATAACTTTAATTAAAATAATTTACAAAAAATAACTTTTGTGGTAATAGTTCTATTTTAGGAAACTGCATTAGAAACATGGTGTTTTGATTACTTTAGATTACCAGTTTTAAGATCTCTTCCTACTAGCCAGCCCAGATGATAGATGGCAAACATCTCACATGTATTGACAGGATTAATGCTTTAAAAATCACACACAAAACTCACTGAAATGAACAGGAAAAAAAATCAAAATCTAATCTACTGACTGTAACTTGCTAATGGCTACAATACAAAAATCTGTTAAATATTTTATTAAATTATTTAGAGAAGTTTCCCTCACAAAAACCCATAAAGAACTTCCATGATATTCTATCCTACTTGTGAAATGCGATTTATCAGCCTTAAACAGAATTTGCTGAACTGCAAGTACTTCCAGACCAACTATTATCCAGTGAAACCACACACTTTTGAAAAGACAACTCACTGAGAAATGACTGTCCCAATGCATCTCATGGGAAAAAACCCCACAACACTCAACATACACCTCTTAGGCACTAAACAAGTAACTTATTCGTGGGATTTTAACTAAAACATTTAGGTATAGAACATGACAACTCTGGTAAGAGGAACAATTTAAAATTTCATTATACAAACAAGAATTACCTGCAATTCCAAATGTCAAAAAACCTAAAGCAAATATTTCCTCAGAATTTTGATCTATAGGATATTAACTATCATCAGTCATTGTTGCATAACTTTAATACCAAATCAGATCTGAACATTAATCATGGCAATTTAATTTTATTTTCTTAGATAGGATACATATTTTATCCTTCTAAGCAAATGTGCCAAAATAAATTCTTGACTACTCTACTTCCTCATTATCAAACAAAAACATGTGAGTTTAGTTTATTGTGTTGTACTTCCCATTATTACTAGAATAATCAGAGAATTCTGGCCATTCGAGTAAGATGCATATCTCATGAGAAAACAGTCCTTTAAATTGAGTTATAGGTTAAAATAACTACTGAATACTTCAGAAGAAAGGATTTCATCTTCGTATAATAGAAGACATAATCAATTCTTCATGGGAGAAGACAGGAGGAAATTGCCAGACTGAAGGTTACTTGTGAAATAAAGTCATCAAGAAGGGTGTGTTTGCTCAACAATCTGTATATGGCCCAAAAACGTGGGAATTTTCCTATCAGTTTTTAAAATGGCGAATCCCCATCTGATATTAAGCTGAGCCAATGGAAATATTAAAAAATTTCCCATAATTTCTATCCTGACAGAAGCTACTTAACCCTCAGAACTCAGATGAAAGTCTGAGGTTTTTAATGCTGCTTTTGTCTCAGTCTCTAGTAATAGAGCCAGTTGTATTCTGAGAATCCAGCCTCCTGAGCTAGAAGACAGAGCTCAGGAGCAGAATGATCTCCCTGCAGTCCAGGAAGAGATGGTCAGTGACCTGATGCACCACACAGATGTACACAAGTCTGTGGGACAAGATGAAATCCACCCAAGAGCTATTAGAGAGCTGGCAGAGGTGCTCACCAAGCCATTTTCCAGCATTTTTCAGCAGTCCTGGCTGACCAGGGAGGTCCCAGCAGACTAGAAGTTGGCCAGTGTGACACCCATCTACAAGAAGGGCCAGAAGGAGGATCCAGGAAACTACAGGTCTCTCAGTTTGATTTCAGTCCTGAGAAGAGCAATGGAGCAGATCATCCTGAGCACCATCATGCTGTACATGCAGGACAACCAGATGATCAGGCCCAGTCAGCCTGGGTTTGTGAAAGAGGTCCTGCATGACTAACCTCCTCTTCTCCTAGAACACGGTCACTCACTTACCGGATGAGAGAAAGGCTGTGGATGCTGTGCATCTGGACTTCAGAAAAGTCTTTGACGCTGTTTCCCACAGCATTCTCCTGGAAAAATTGGCTACTCATGGCTTGGATGGACACACACTTTGATGGACTAAAAACTGGCTGGATAGCCAGGCCCAAAGAGCAGTGGTAAAGAGAGTTAAATCCAGTTGGTGGCCAGTAACAGGTGGTGTTCCTCAGTGCCCAGCACTGGGGCCAGTTCCGTTTAACATCTTTATCAATGATCTAGATGAGGAGATTGAGCAAAACATTAGCAAGTTTGCATAAGTCAGCAAGCTGGGTAGAAGTGTTGATCTGCTGGAGGGTAGGAAGGCTCTACAGAGGGATCTGAACAGACTTGATCACTGGGCCAAGACCAGTAGACTTAGTTTCAGTAAGGCCAAATGTCAGGTCCTGCACTTCACCCACAAAAACCCTCCGCAGCACTACAGGCTTTCGAGGAGTGGTTAGAGAGCTGCCAGGCAGAAGCACCTGGGGGTGTTGACTGATAGACAGCTGAATACGAGCCAGCGGTGCGCCCACGTGGCAAGAAGGCCAATGGCATCCTGGTCTGTGTCAGCAATAATGTGGCCAGCAGGATCAGGGCAGTGATTGTGCCCCTGTACTCAGCACTGGTGAGGCTGCACCTCAGATCCTGTGTTCAGTTTTGGGCCCCTCACTCCAAGAAAGATGTTGAGGCACTAAAGCATGTGCCAAGAAGGGCAATGAAGCTGTTGAAGGGTCTAGAGCACAAGTCTTACAAGGAGAAGCTGAGACAACTGGAGCTGCTTGGACTGGAGAAAAGGAAGCTGGAGGGAGACCTTATTGCTCTCTTCAGCTACCTTAAAGGAGATTGTAGAGAGGTAGGGGTCAGTCTGTTCAACCAAGTAACAAGTGACAGTACAAGAGGAAATGGCTTCAGGTTGCACCAAGGGAGGTTTAGACCAGATATTAGGAAAAATTTCGTTACTGAAAGGGCTATCAGGCAGTGGAACAGGTTGTCCAGGGCAATGGTGGAGTCCCCATCCCTTGAGCTAATGAAGAGTCATAGTGCATAGGGACACGGTGTAGCAGAAAACTTGTCAGTGTTAGGTTAATGATTTTTTAATTACTCAATGATCTTAAAGGTCTTTTCCAATCTGGGCAATTCTGTGATTCTGTGATCCTGTGATCTACTAACAGGGCTATTACATAACCAACCTCACTCAGTGTGAGCCAAGACCAGAAAAGATCTAAAAATCAAATAGTTTTTCCCAATTTGTCTCATTTTGACAAAAAGCAGTTAGGATACAAGTCTCAAGCAAAGCTTATCCATTTAACCTAAGTTCTGCACACAAAGGTGAGAAGTGGAATACTAAGTGTTCTTAGCTGCTTCTTTGAGAAGCAAAAGATATGCACCAAAACTACTGCCTTCCCCCGTTAAGCAACTGACTAGCAAAAGCAAACTTCTTTTGAAAAGGTTGCCCATTCTTGCTCCATTCACTACACAGTTCTAAAAGGAGCAAATTGTTCAGGAAGTACGGAAGTACTGAGAGTATTTAAATTCTGTGCTTCCCAGATAAACCAACCAATTCTTAAAATGTATATTTTCATCTGATACAAAAAATAACTTTTAAGTGTCTTCCCATAATAAAAACCTTTAACTTGGTATGACTACTAATAAATCATTGAATGTAAATGTATTCCATTTGTATTCCATTGTATTCTATTTTCTAACTTCAGAATTTCATCTTCATATGGAATTTTTCACACGAGGTGATTGTGTATGTGTATATACACATATATACTTATGTGCTTGAAGCAACTTGGCAAAAATATTTTTTTTCCCTAGGATGGAAGTCTAAGTTATACTATACCACTGATAATTTGAGTTGTTTCACCTCAATAT